CAGCAGAGTCGCCATGTTATCGCGTCCCATTTTCTCCCGAAAGCGAGCTTCGAGATCGTGACAACTCCTTTTAGATGGGAGATAGAGTTATAAAGGAGAAGAATCTCAACCTAATGGTTTTGTAAGGTGCATTAGGGCATCTATTATGCAGATAACTTTGTTTGACTAGTCTACGCTACCAAAGATTGAGTAAGGGCTCAAATTACCTCAAAGAGAAGGTGTTAGGCACCCTTCGAGGTCCACAACTGTAGGTCCCGGCCGAACTTAAGACTATGTGGATTATAATCAAGCAAGATACACAAAGAGAGTACGAGTCAAATGAATACATTATAACATGATGAGAAATAAGGATTACAGGGATATAACTATTAAGTCTATGCTAAATGACTAAATGTATAAAGAAAAGAAGGGGATCCTATGTTTTTTTACCCTAAAAGATCACCCCGTGCAATATAAATAATACTTCGCAACTCCCTTTAAGTAGGGAATTCCTCATATTATTCAGCGCACACAGACTATCATCTCCTACTGCCCCGTTACTATGTCAAAGTTGTTTACCTAAAAAAGCATTGTAATTCAATTCTAAGTCGTGCTCTATGTGTGCACTACCCGTCCCATGCTTATGGTCCAAGAGGCAGTGGACCTCTATTTAGGGTGGTTCTAGACTTAACTTAGGTTGCTTAAAATGATAAAACTAGGCGACTTACAAAACAAGTTGGACTTCAAATATGGGCAATTAAGGGCTCAAGTTAGCCTCCACATTTAGACAACAAATGCACACAAAACAAGTTTTCATGTTAGTCAGTTTTAGAATTAAATTCTTTAAACCCTATAGACATAATTTCTAGATGAAATTGGATTCAAACGAGCATATATAACATTAATGCCTTTAGTGGCTTAGACGATGAGGCATTAGACCATCTGTTGTTAACGCCGGTTTTAGATACCAATTTTAGAAAAGTGATATTGTCCTATAGGCATGTTATCTAATAGGGGCATAGTTAAACAAATGAGAATAGTTCTGGGAACCCAACCTTGACAAGGGGATGAAATATATTAAGTGAGTGACAATATCCTAAAGGCAGGATCTCTAGCAATTGACAGTCGAACCTTGATTTCATAATACATTATCCCTATGAACATGTTATCTTAGTGGAGCAATATGATAATGATAATGGTAGCTAATTGGTTAATTAAGGCCCTCTAGGCATGGTATCTAATGAATATGTTGAAGTTAAACGAATTGAAAGAAAGTTCATTGGCATTGTTTCCTATAGACATGTTGTCTATTACCACATAGTAGTAGACAATGAAGCATTTGAACTCATGCTTTGATGGTAGACGATTAGTGAGTGTATGCGATTGTCCTAATGACATGATTTCTAACAGTGCACATAGAAATTGAAAGACATATATAGCAGGTTGGATAACAAGTAAATCATATGAATCCTATAAGCATGCTTGCCACCCTTTCATCCAAACATTAAGTATACATGTTTCCCCCATTTTTACAAATATCTCCAATTGTATATTACAAAGTTATTACAGGGCCAGTAATGAATGTAATTACAAGGGATTATACAAACAATAATGGTGGACCTATAACAAGCCCAAAAGAAATACCCAGCATTGCCTGGGCCTTCAACAAAACTCTTTCTTCACCAATTTAGTGCACCCAGATTAACAGGGAATTATATCCATCAGCACAACCCAGAAATCACAGACGAACCCAAGCCAAAACAAGACAGCCACAGAGTGACCACATGACCAAACATTGAGTTACCCATAAATCACTTAAACAAAATAGCTTGCATGTTCAATAGATAGAATGAGGGAAAAAATGAATGTCAGAGATAACTCAGGTATTCGAAGTAAAGAGAGTGGCCAAGGGACCCGAAGTCCTAGTGTGTTAGAGTTCACAAGGGTCTCAGATGGACCCGGAGCAGTGCTTACACTAGGGAGTTCAATAGTAAGAGTTTTGTTGGCCTTGGCTTTCAGCCGGCCAAGAATGATAGGTTCAAAATAGCATAGGTAAAAAATTGAGAGTGAGTGTACAATGGTTAAAGGACAGAGGTTGAGGAAATACACTTATAGCTTAAGGTAGACATAGCAAAATTGAGAACAGGAACAGCTAATCAAGAAGGTCAACAAGACTTAGAAGAAGGTTCAACACTTAGCAAAATAACACATTGGCAGAAATATATTGAAAGAGTTAGGGAGAAACAAATTTGCAAGATTAACAAGATTATCATACAAAGATGCATAGCACCAAACAAGTTTAAGTAGGGCACTAACTTCAAAGATTTGAAGCTTAAAGGTCTGAATTATGCTACGGATTCATCACAATATCATAAGACATCCAGGTTAACTTATATCATGACACAGAAAAGTATCAAACATGGTATGGAAACACAAACTAAGATAACCATTCTAAAGGTATCAAATAGTTAATAAGGATATAAGATTAAGAAAAATAGAGACATGTTGTGAGACACATTAATAGGGGAGCAGGTCATAGTTGATAGAAAAGGTCTTAACATAGGTTAGAACACATCACATATGCAAGTCTGTCCTTAAGAGATTCAGAACATAGTGGGTAAGCAAGCTTATGTCAAATAGCAAACATAGGCACTCAGGTATTGACACAGTAGACTAACAAACTTAAAAAGGTCCAATTTATTCAAATGTAGCACATTCAGATAACATACCTTAGAATTGGCAACTTTTAGGTAAAATTAAATACTAAAGAGGCTCAAAATAAATGCAAAACTGACAAAGTCGCATACAGGAGTAGACCATAACACATTAGCTAAACGAACTTAAGAGGGTTCAAATTATTTAAATTAGGCATGAACATGTCTCAGAACTGGCAGCATTAGGTGAAATTAAATGCTAAAGACGCTCAAAGAAAGCGCAAAAAAGTTACACACGAAAATAGCCCATAAACACATTAAGCCATAAATTTCAGAGGTAAGAATGTGTGAATCATAAACACATAAGAACGAAAATACAAAGCCAAGTGACTTACCAGTTAGACGGACAATAAGAAAGAACAAATTCCACAATGTTCTGAATATCAACATAGAACAAGAACCCAGATCTCAATGTGTCAAAGTCCCCAAGGGCTTCAGAGGAACCCCAGACAGTGCTCACACCAATAAAAGGTTAAAAAGCCGAATCCTGGAGTCCTTAAATTTCAGCCGGCCAAGAATCAAGGTATAAAACAAGAGAACGAGAAAACAATAAAGTGATAACTCCAATTTAAGTGAAAATCTAGCGATTAAGGTCTGTTTCAAAGGGGAATGGGGAAAGGTTTATATAGTAGTAGAAATTCGGAAAATGACCAAGGAAATATTGTAAAATCAACATAAATACGGAAATAAAATCATTGAGAACCGATAAAAAGTCAGATTAGAGAAAGATTAGGTAAACCCTAAGTGATAGTAATCAGAAATTGGCCGTAGATCTTGGCTAATTGGACACATATAGCCTGGCCATGATGCATATGGACGAGATATCGTCCAGATTTAAGCGATTGAATTTGAACGGCCAAAATCTGAGAGATAGTACTTGTCATGTTTAGGCAAGTACTAAGTGATACCATGGTCTTGAAGGTAATACTGAGATAACACATAAAAGGTATGAAAATCATGGAAATAATTCATGGTTGAGATGGATTTGGAGAAATTGAGATGGCAATTAGGGTTTCTGAGGAGAGGAGAAGAGAGGATTCAAGGACGGCGTCTGAGAGAAAATGATAGGATTTTGGGGGCGGTTTAGGTAATTAAGAGGGAGAGTGAACAGGGGTCATTGATCTTGAGAGATCAACGGCTAAGATTTAAAATAAATGGGACAGGTCGTAAAAATGAATACCGATTGAATCCGATTAAAGGGTCATTTGGCTTTGGGTTGGGGGCTATTTGGCTAAGGTGCTGGGCCATTTTTGGTTCGAAATTGGTTTAAATCTGGGACAACTCTTAAATACACACTGTCTATCGAAAAGAATTTATAAAAATGATTAATAAATAAATAAAAAATATTATTTATGCACTAAAATGATTAAAAATAATAATTTAGCATTATAAAAATATAAAAATGCTATTTTTAAACAAATAACATAAATAAAAGCACTTATGGATGAGTATAAGCTATTACTGTAAAATTGTACAAATAACTTAAAAATGTTAATGTAATTATATAAAATGAAATAAAAAAATATTTGAAACAAGTATTATAGGTGAAAGTAATAGTTACGTTGTTGCAAATATATTTGAAACAAGTTCAAGTCGGAATTGTTGCAGACCCAAAGGGTTACTGAAAGTGGGTGACGAGAGGGTTATTGAAATTGTGGATGAATTCTGAAAAATCCTTGTTGAACTTAAAGATGTAATCGATACTTACGCTGTTGATGTCGGAGGATCATCAGGTATCTTAAATGCGTAAATTGTATCTCTGCTGTATATGGCCGCCGGAAGTTGGAGTCCCAGTTGGTCTTTATCATGGAGCAGATCCATTACCTCAATGGAAAGTTGGAAACTTGTTGCAGTGTTAAGAAGGCCCTGATCCCAGTAGAGAGCAATCATCTGCATAATACTGATTCCAATTGCAGTGATTACCGTTTTGCTTACCCGTCTAATAAGGATGTTAGTTCTTGTTGGCTTGGAAGAAAAGAAAAGGACGCTGCAATCCCTTTCCCAGTATGGATTTAAAGAATCCCCAATTATCGCTATTTGCAGTATGGGAGGGATTGGCAAAACAACTCTTGCAGGGGCGATCTTCCATGAGCTATTATTTTATGGCCAAAGAGTTCATACTTTCGCTTACATTGTTCTGCCCCATGATTTCCAAATCGATATGGATTTCCTCTTGCGGGATATACTTACACAGCTTAACCACTCGAGTAAAAAATAAGTGTTAGACTAGTGCAAAGGTCGAATAGAGTTAGCCCATAAAGTTTACGAGTCTCTAGAGTCAAATAAATTCTGGACGATATGTGGTCAATGGATGCTTGGGTTAACCTGAGTGCATATTTAGCAACTGCCAAATCGGCTAGTAAAATACTGGTCACCACTCATAATGGAGATGTGGCAAAGAGCATTGCTGAAAAGGAGGTCTCTTTTGAGATGAAGAGATTATGTGCGGATGAATGTTGGGAGGTCCTTTTGAAGAGACAGACTTCCTTCNAGCCTTCCTTCCTAAATTTTTTTAAAGCCAACCAAGTTTTGGAAGAAATCGCCAAGGCTGTGGTCAGCAAGTGCTTTGGCTTACCATTAGCAGTTGTCTGTGCTGGTAGCGTCTTGGCCAGGGAGCACTCCGTTGCTCATTGGAAGTCTGTGCTTCAAAATTTTGACTCATATCTATACCTCGAGAAAGATACCTTAGTATTTTCCAAGATACCAAAGACCTTGCTCTTGACCTACCATTACTTGCCCTACCATTTTCAGAGTTGTTTTCTTTATTTGTGCCTATTCCCAAAAGGAGTAGACATAGAAGCAGAAAAGTTATTTAATCTCTGGGTAGCTGAGGGCTTTGTAGCGTCGGAGAATGGAGAAAATGAAACAACATTGATTGACAGAGCAGAACATTATTTGTATCAATTGGTAGCCAGAAACTTGATTTGCATGCAAGAAGAGGAGGGCATGGAGAGAGTAGTTAAATCTTCTTGCCCTATTAATGACCTGTTGCGGGAGCACTGCTTATTCAAGGGAAAGGAAGAGAATGTTTTTGAATTGCTTCATCTAGCATATGGACCGCGAAAGGATTCTTATGGTACAACAAGAAGACTTTACGTGTTCCTTGACGAGTGTGAAGCCGGAAATGATGTTTGCTTGCAGCAGAAAGTATTCAGTAAAGTTCGATCTCTCTTATTTCTGAATCCTTACCCAAATCGACATGCTTTATCGTGGCCTCTATCCTTTAGTCTAAAGAATTTCAGATTGCTTAGAGTCTTGAACTTCTAGGATATTAGATTTCATGGGACAAAGCTTCCTGAAGGAATTGAAAAACTTACTAATCTGAAATACCTAGGTCTAAGAAACTGTTATGTGAAGGAGTTGCCATCATTTATTGGCGAATTGTCAAACTTGCGGACTCTTGATTTAGGGGTAAATGATGTGATGACCATACCTAATGTCTTTTGGAAGGTCAAAAACCTGAGGCATCTGTACCTTCTGTTAGCGAAAACGTAAAAGAAAGAACACAAGATTTAACGTTGTTCGGATCAAAATAATCCTACGTCCACCAAAGAACAATTGCCTTTTTAATATTAACAAAGGAAGGGGAGAGTTCCCAATTACACTTAAGAGAATTTCTCTCTTAACTCTCTACTCACTACAATGTGTTGTATTATTTTTGGGATGGTTTCTACAAATGGAGGAGTGCATCTATTTATAGAGGTAAAGACCTCCTCTTGAAGTCATTGGTGACATCAAACTACCTCCTCTTGATGTCATGGGTGACATCAAAGGAGGAAACTTCCTCCTAGCATCCTCACCAACTCTTTCCACCAACTTTTTCAATTGGCATGCCATTGTTGACTAAACATAAACCAACATCTTCAATCTCCACCTTGGTTTGCATTTCGAGCGTGCGTGTGAACAACTCTGGCAAAAACTTCTAAGCTTACTAGGCAACCCCGTTGTAAGAAATAAGAAGAATCAAACCATTGTTGAACATAC